GAGCCTCTCCTGCAGACTGCACGGGCTCTAGGGCAGAGAGCAGGGTGAGGGGGTTCAGCATAACATGGTAAAGGTGGAGAAAGAGAACACATGCTGACAGCCCAGCCTCTTTAGCTGCCTACTGCATCCAAAATGCTGCCTTCGATGGGCACTACGGTAGTTGCTGCCTCAAGCACTCTGGAGGCTGATGCAGCGTAGATCTCTAACAAGACACATTAGGAAATGTAAAACCAAAGTCCCTAAGAAATATCGTACAGCCATTCAAGTATTCATTGATTTACAGGGACCAAGGGGCTTTGTACGATGGGTTTGTCCAGGCCTCTTTCCTCCCACCTTGGTTGCTTCATGCTCAAGTCTCAGTTCGTCCCCCGTCCTGTTTCTCCACCGGTATCCCTAAGGCCTCTCTTTTACCCCTCCGGGTGCCAGCAGCTCCTTCCTCCTAGGCTGCCAGAAGCAAACAAGGAAGGTCAGAGGAGCTGGAAAACATCTCGTCTCTCTCTTCCTGCTGCAGTGATACAGAAGCATCCATCGGATGGCAAAGTCCTGCCTGCGTTCCCCCAGTATTTTGAGCCTGCAGACCATCACATGCAGTCTTCGGAGAATTCAGATATACTCAAGGTCTCTTCTGAGCAAGTGCAAATCGCAGCGTTTCAAAGTCTCCTAGTGACCCAAATTTGGGAAGGTTTTCACAAAGTAGCAAAAGGCATACTTCACAAATTTGAAGTACATGAACCATTAGAACTTCTCAGCTAAACTACTTAAAGGGTGTGTGAGTCTGGGGCACTTCAGTTAAAGCATTTTTTCCCTTAAAGCATCCCAAGCGGGGAAAAAATCCAACAGCAGAGTATTATTTATTTTTTCTGAATATTACCAAAATGAGGTTCAGCCAGAAGGAGCTACCCAACACTGAAAGTTTCAGCAAAACCATTTCCATATTTGAAGTCATAAGGACCTGAAAGCAGGATCTTTTGATGTAAAGCAGTGGGCAACTTTATCTGGAGGCATCGCTTCCTGGTCCAACCCCCCTCCCTCATCCAGCTGCTAATTCCAGCTCAGCTCTTCTCATTCAGGTACCGGCACTCAGTGCCTGCAGCCCTGGGCAAAACCCTGCATCTCCCAGGGCTCTGGGGCAGTTTCACAGTGCTCAGAACAGCAGAGGTGGAGGCACAAGCGTCTAATCAATCCAGGAGCGGGAAACAAGCAATACACTAACGGAGACTTTTTCTTTAGGCAAAATGACAAACTTCCATGAAGCTTTTGAGAAATGGACTTTGCTTGCTATCTGGTGTCAGCAAGATCCCAGTGTCCCTTGGGACATTTTTAGTTCGTTACCAAGAAAATAGTAGGAAAAGCAACGTGAATACAGGTGAAATTTTGGGTTTCTTGCAGCATTGCCCAGCAAACCAAAGTAGCCCAAATGATACTGGGAGTTTGGGAAGCAAAGCCCACATTCTGTCTTACATGTTAAAGCCACTGTTTTTACCCAATAAGCAATATGAGCTCTCTTCTTTATAATGAAAATTAAAATTTGTCCCACCATGTTGGTTTGGAGCAAGTCAAGACCTGTGGCCCTGCGTGGGGTACAGCAGACAGCAGCACCTTCACTGCCGGTGCTGCCTGCTACCAGCACCTGCAGCCCCACGGAGTGGAAAGCGGGTCGGCTGTCCTTCGCAGCCCCATTGCCCAGCCCTGCCAAGGCAGACTGCAGCTCTGGGCCACTGGCATTCAAACAACTTTACCTTGCTCTTATTTTTTGCCCAGAACAGAGATAGTTTGGAAGTCATCACAAGCCTGCATTTTAGGAAACCAAACAACTCCAAGCTACAGCCTTCCTTTAAGTGTTCAGCCAAAGCACTCCTCTGCCATCTGCAGCAAAGAAACCATTTTTTCCTTCCACAACAGGCCTTACCTCCCCAGTCTGTCTCCAGGTTCTGGCAGTCACTCTCATCTTCACCTAGGAGGTCAGAGAACAATGCTTCTACAATGCATGCTGTCTGCTCCTCGAAGGTTGCCATCACAGTGTGTCTCCACACTGCAGAGTGGGCAGGGACACCACTGCAGCTGCTCTTCTTTGCAGGGGAGCTTTCCTTCTGGATTTGGCTTTCTTTTCCCAGAGCTGCACAGGTTTTTCCTTTTGGGAAGAGTATGAATCCAGACTCCTCTCCTGGACAGCATGACATGCCACTATTTGCTCTCTTAACTGTCATCATTCAAGCTATGGGTGTGGTTTAGTTTCAAAATAAGTCAGTTCTGTTAAGATCAACTGAAATAAATATTCACAAGTTATCGAAGACTGCTGACCTGTTCATTCATCAAGAATGGGGTCTGGATAAAAGCCTAGCAGTTCCACGTCCCATCCCAGTCTAACCACAGCAGAATAAATGATAGCTTGCCAACAAGCTATCAGCTATTTTTTTCTGAAAACTGCATAATGCCAATGCAGCTCTCTGTAAGGACAGGAATATAACATATGCATAAAGACACTGGAAAACTGTTATCAGGAGCCCTGCTCCAGCTGACTTACCTACCTTTGAATTCACCCAGAGGTAGTTCACCTGTTACAGTAATTTGGCACATGAGACTGAATTATTGCACAATTGCTCCTTAAATCCTTGCTTCAAGGAAATTGAGAGAGAAAATCCCTGACACAGAGGCAGGAGCTGGACTGCAGTTCTGTCTGGATCCACAGTAGTGATCAGATCACTCCATCCCGCAGACTTCACAGTTGAACGAACAAGTACTCCGGAAAACAGCCAGGAATGATTCATGTTTTTATTAGGAAAATCAGGAATAAAACCTAAAACCTGCTGTCACTGCTAAACAACAGTGTTTCAGTGAAGTGCATGGAAGGCATACTGCACTTTAAAGGTAGAATACAGTCATTAGAAGAAATTAAAAATTACAAGAAATGTTACAGAATAGGGTTAACAAAGCCACTCCTTACAGAGTACCCTAAAGCCTTGTTATAGTAATCTGTGTAACGCAAGCTTAAGCCAAGGAGCTGCCTTCAAGGTTTTGCCACTGTGTAAAACACGGCTGTAACAGGGAAACGCTTCATGACACCATACAAAGTCCAACTCTCCATAACTTTCAGTAGAGCAGATGGAGTGCTGTCGATGCACTCTTCAAAAAACAAGTCCTGAGGCTGGCCAGAGTATAACTTTAAAAACTGTAAAAATTTAGTCTAATAGCACTGCACCATCTCGTGTCCTTTATTGTGAGGACATGATGACAGTACTGCACAGAAGTAAGTACTACACACAAAACAAACCTTTAAATATCCTTTCTAGTTACAAAGTAACAAATGGTAAAAATCAGTATCAGCAAAAATTTAATATTCCATACAAGTTAATTATCTAAACAGCAATTCTTCCGTTATTGGTGTGAGTACCAAGGACTGACAGCTCACTGACATGGCCAAAGTGATGCAGGCTACAAAACTCATGCCACATTGACTCACACAAACACATCATACACAACATGAACCCTCATGCATTTTCTTACAGATGCCCTGGCCACAGGGAGCTGAGGGAGGAACTTCAGAGAGGGGAACTCATGATTACAGTAACACATTTCAACTAGAAAATATACTTCTTTCTCTTGAAAAAGAAACATGCTGGTTCTACTGAGCATGATGTATCCTGTCCACCCATCTCTGATGTAGCAGGGCTCTGTTCACCTGTAAGTGAAGCTATTATTGAAATCCACCTATCAGACAGAAAACTGAATCACAGACAAAGGGAGCCAAGAACTAAATACTTCTCTCTTTACTGCACTGCTCCTCTTAATGTGAGGTAAGTAGCAGAGTCCTGGAGTCTCTGAACTGTTTTTTGAATTATTTACAATTCTCATGAAAAAAAAAAACCCTCTCTAAAACACATCCCTGATTTTTGCTCATTTCTGGTTCCATCAGCCACGTTAGCGTCTTGTGACAATCACCATAGATGCCACCATTTCTGTAACTCATGCCAGAAGCAGCAGGCTCAGGAATGCATTACCTTGTCCTTTCACCAGCCCAGAGGGAGGACAGACCCTTCACCCCGCCCCAGTCACCAGCTGCAGCGATCCTGTACCTGCCAGCCACACCGAGTTCCACACCACATGTGCTTTCTAGGCCCAGGAAAGGCCTGCTAATGCTCCTGCAGTTTAGAAGTACAAAACCAGCATCAGGTATGGCTAAGGAAGCCAGAGAAATACTTTTCTTGTGCCCTGAGCAAGCATCCTACTGGGAGCAGGGACCAATCAGGACCCTAGTCCGGCAACTGCTGCCATGACCGTCCTTAACGCTGAAATAAAGGTTTGCAGTGCCTCTGGCTTTGCCTCACTCTGCTTCACAGAAACCTGCATCTCCGAATCTGCCGCCTCAAGCAAGAGCTCTGTTAGGAAGAGGCAACCCACGTCATCCTGAGCACTGAGATAAGCTTTCCATGGCTGGACACCAGCTTTGCTCATAGCAATAGTCTGGATGTGGACAACGTGAAGAGCTGTCTGTATGGCATCTGGATGAACAGTCCCACACCAGGGCAGAAAGAGGCGGCAGCTCATGTCCAGGCTCAGCCAAGTCTTCTCAAACTGTTCTGCAGTCAGGTAAACATCAGGAATTAAGGTCAGGCTGCCTGTATTGGGATGAACCTTGAGGACTTTATTCCCTTCAGAAATCAGCGACTCTGAAATGAAATCACAAACATGTGAGATGCAGCATATAAGGTGCAGCTCCCATATTCACGAAGAATGTCTTATGGAGCCATCAGACGAAGACTGGAATCACAGCGCCTTCAGCAGCATCCCCTGGGCTAGTGAGGTGGTGATCAGCCACGCATTGCACAAGATAGTCAGAACACTAAGTCAGCATTCTCAAAGCACAGTGATCTTATTCCAAAGAAACCCATGCAAGAGTATCTACTGACAAGGGGAAAATGGACCCCAGATGGAGGTGAGGCGGGTTACCTGTGTCTCTGTTCCTGGAGTCAGTATGAGGAGAACAAGTGTAAGAGGGTTCCGCTGGCTGGTGAGCAGTTACAAGTGCCCAACGTTCTCTGCCGTAAACTGGTGCAAGAGTATTAAACTCTGAAGCCCATGTATTCACGGGTCGCTCAGTTTGGTCTTCCAGGAGCCCCAGAGAGGGGTCAGACTTGGGACTACACAAGACCCGTTTCACTTCTTCCACACCAGACTGCAAAAGGCGATAGTAGAACAATCCACGGTCTCGTACTGCCATATCCATCTCCTCCTCTGGGAATCAGAGAGATGTAATTGATGCAGAATTCTATCACTCAGATTTCCCCGAAGTAGTAACCCTTGATTACTAAAAACAGAATCTCAGGGATACAGTATAAACCTGTTACACTCGCCAACCAGAAAGCTAGGGGCCAAGTAGCAGCCTAAGGCATAAAGCCACCTTACCTTGCCATCCTGGTCTCCTCACAGCTAGGATGCTGACACATGGCATCCATGCACTGGGGACATAGCCAAACCAGGTCCAAAAAAGCCTATACTACAGCTTCACTGAAACAGAATGAAGGGAACCCACCTATGCAGTAATAGAGCAGTCTCCCTAGCATGTCCTGACACTCAGCAGGACGAGACAGGAAAAGTCGCACCAATGCTGTCAGAAGCTCCATCTTCACTGCTGGAAACATCTCCGATTTCACGTTCTCCACAAAGTCCTCTAAAACATAGGGGGCATTCGGTACTTTCTCACCATGTGCACCCAGGAGCCAGATCAGCGCTTGCTTGCCCTGGAGGAACCACAGAAAAAATAGCAAATTGGCGCTGTTTACCAGAAAGACAGGATTGACATGAAATAAACAGACAGGAGAAAACAAGTCTTCTGAAGATTTCTGACCTTTGCCCGCC